GACCCTGGCGGGCAGGGGTCACAGCGGAGCCCGAGCCAACGCAGGTGGTGGGCGCTGGGCCCCGGGGGCAGGGCCAGAGGGCAGGCAGCGCCCCTTGCCCGCGTCTCCCCCAGGGTCCCTCCCACCGGCGCCCCGAGCCCTCCGGGGCGGATCAAGGGGGCGCCTCCCTGGCTCTGTGAGCGGCTCCAACACTCATGACCCAAGCGAGGCCGGGGCCTCAGGTCAGCCTGGGCCGTGCCAGCCTGGGCCGGCGGGAGGCGGCCACCTTGGGCCCTGACGGCCAGATGCGCTCTCCAGGGTGGACAGTGTCAGGAGCTGCCCGTGTGGGGAACCCCCCATGGCGGCCAGCGGGGGCAGGAGGGAGTGGGCGGGCGGGCGGGAGGCTGGGAGGCCTGGGCCCCGCGCTGGAGAGGCCGGGGCTGCCGACATCACACCTGCCCTTGTGCGCGGGGGCTCCACACCCAGCAGGACCGTGGCGCGGGCGCGGCGGAGTCAGGGCGGCGCTGCGGGTGCTCCACTCCAGGAGGCACAGGGTGGGGAGCTGCCGTCTGCAGAGCTGGGCTGTGGCTGGCGGCTGGGGGTGGAGGTTTCCAGACTCACTAGAGAAACGCGGGCACCCCCTCCTTAGGTCAGGCAGGACAGGACCCCAGACAGTGGTGCCCGACGTGGGAAATGAAACGGGCCGTGATGGCGGGGACAGAGCTTCCCGGGATGGCCACGGCGCACAGACGGGTCGTCCCGAGCGCAGGGCAGACGTGGCTGGAAGCGGCGGTGAGGCGTGGGCAGACCCCGTGGTTTTAAGCAGAGGAAATGGCCTCCAGAAGGGAGCAAGAAGTGCCCTCGGCTGTTTGATGTAAGGATGCAGCCACCCCCTGACCTCTGACCCCACCCACAGGCCTGTCTTCACCCTCCCCCGCCACCGCGAGTGGGGCCCGGGTCTGCTGTCTGGCTGCCACGCGCTCCAGGCCCGCAGCGGTGGAAGCCGCCATCTCAGAAGCCGCGCGTTTAAGACTTCAAAACACGGGCGCTGCTTCGGGGTGAGGTACCGGCCACGCGAGGCCTCAGTGACTGTTTCCCGTGTTTGTGAAATCAATCCCACCATCGTTCTCCGACCCGAGTGGGCCCGCAGTTGTGCGTGTGGGGCAAGAGCTCAGACGGTGGCCGGTAAGCCGTCTGGGCACGTCCTTGGCCAGTGTAGTGCCCGCACAGCCCGTGTCAGCGTGGTCCCCCGGACGCAGCTGGCAGTGGAAGGGCTTTGTCTGTCATTATTTAAATTTCACCCATGTGCGCTAACTCCTCTGAATTCATGATAGCTTTTAGGATAAAAGTATTTTTAAGAGCAAAATGGGGCTGTCAGACAGCAAGATGGTCGCCCCGCCGCCCCATAACCGCGGGAAGAGCGGGACCTGCGCCTCCTCCCCGAGCCTGCCCCTTGCTGGCACGGGAAGGACCCGCGCGCGCTGGTCAAGAGCTCTTCGGACACTGATGTTCTGTCATTCGGCGGCGAGCAGGCAGCTTTGAAGGGCCCTTCCGAGGCCATCTGGTCTCCCCGTGCTGCCCAGCAGAAGTACCCGTTAGTTAAAACCAGTCCAGGCAAGAGTGAACCCGTGTCACCGGGCAACCCCACGCTCCCATTCCCCGACAAATCCCACGCTCTTGCGAGGTAAGTAACTTGAAGTGTCTGAAAATTTTCCTTCTGACCTACACAGATGCGCTGGGGCCTCTTTTCAGAAGTGACAGTGTGCAAGGGCGGAAAGTTCGGGAGGCCACGGGCAGGGGTTGCCTGGCAGGAGCGTCCATCTGCCTCTGCTCCCGGGAGACGCAGGTGGCAGGCTGGGCGGGGCGGCGAGCATGCCCGGCCAGTGTCCTCCTCGGCCAAACAGACCGGCCCGTCGCTGGGACCGTCGTCATGACGTCTCGAAGGCGCGCGCCTGTGATGCACGGAGTCTTCTGGGGCGGGGAGGCGCCAAGCCACGGGCTTCCACAGAAAAAGTTGCCGATGGCGCAGAAGCAGCACTCTGCCTCTCAGTGCCCCCCGAGCTGACCTGCACTTGACATTCGGTTAACTGGAGCCGGATTTAATCATCGTGTGACCCAACGGGGTGCATTCAACCTGGGGTATCGGATATCCTACTTGATGTTGCTTTTATTCTCCACTTCATCTGGTTATTTCCCTGGGGGCCGCAGAGCAATCGCAGGCGGCAAAGTAATGAAACGTGGTAAATCTGGTTAAAGAGACATAGGACTGAGAGTACATCCCTGTGTTTCATCTCCGCAGCCCCATGCACAGTGCGGCTTACTGGAGTTTACGAAGCACTAAAACTAGTTTTTAGGAGAAAAAAGCAGCTGAATTTATTGTTCTGGGAAACAGCTCGCTCAGCTTTAGAACTTGTAAAAGGTCTTTGTTTTATAGGCAGGCCGCGGAAATCGAGGTCACAGGCGTTCACTGCTGTGTCCCTCGGGCGCCGCAGCCAGCACGGGGTCTTCTGGAGGGGGCGTCGCCTGGGCGACGGTGGGCAGGGCCTGGGCACCTGCTGTCACCACCGGGACTGCAGGGCCGGGGCACTGGGAGGTCGGCAGGGAGATGTGTTCGTGCCAGCCAGGCCCCGAACCTTGACCCTGATGGCTGTGGGGTCAGCCTTCCTGCTGCTAACTGAGGAGTTGGCGGTGGTTTCTCTGGGTCCCTGGGAAGATTCCCCGCCTGGGCCCAAGCCAATTAGGAGTGAGTCTCAAAGGAAACCCGGCAGAAGGGGCGGGAACTCCCTCCCTACACACCCCTGCCTGAAGGGCTTTTCCAACACCCCAAGCTGGGCTCCACCCCCAGCCCCTCCCTTTCCTCCGTGGGGGTCACTGAGTGTCGGGCATCTCCGTGGGTGAAGAAGGGGAAGAGAGGGAGAACTGCTGACTGGAAGCGGGTTCTGGAAGGAGCTGTGTGTCCACAGAGGTTGGGGTCCCCACGAAAAGGGTCCCACTAGCATGTCTTCTGAGCCCTCTGCAGCCCAGGAAAACAACAGACCCCAGGAAGTGGCGGAGCAAGGTGGTTTCCGGGAAGAGTGCAGGCCCCAAGTGCCAGAAGCCGGAATCTATCCTGCGCGCCCCTGGTGGGGTGAGCTGTCCTCAGACAGGTCACGTGCGTTCCGGCCCAGCACTTCCCAGGCAGGCAGAGGAGGGGCTGCCTGGCAGAAAAATCTGGAATCCAGCAGGCCAAGAGAAGTAAAAGGGCAGTGACAAGCTGCAGAGACCCAGAAGATGGGCCGCAGAGAGTGCTGGAGGGGGAGCAGCCCTGATTTAAGGGCTCGGCTGAGGACTAGCCCCCAAGTGGGAGCTGACAGGAAGAGACGTGTGGCCCAGAGAGCAGGGCAGTGGCAGATCCAGAGGCCTTGCAGCCGGCTCTCGCCGAGGGGAGCCTGTCACCCTCACTGTGACCTGAGGCCCGGAGGTCTGGCCCTGGTGGGGGGAGGCTCCATGACCATGGGGACCTCGACTCCGGTGTCCTCAGTGCTCACAGCGGGATGATGAAAACCTTCGCCAAACATCTACCTGCACGCGCTCCAGCTCGACAGCATCTTCCAGAGGTAAGACCACAGAGCTCCATTTGACATAAATCATAAACTGATGAGCTCATTTGAAGAAAATGTACACATTTCCTAGAAGAGTGGTTTTGAAGCCCGCCCAACGACACGGGCGCCTGAAGCAACGTTCACTGGCGGGACAGGCCACCATGCGCCCAGCGTGCTCGACGCGGAGACCCTGCGTGACATACGGCACAGCGTGGAGACCACGAGGACGCCCGGCCAGGGAGACTCACTCCGAGCGGGGCAGGCTGGCGAGTCCATCTTTCCATTCACTGGGGACCCCAATGTTCCCATCATCAGGCTGGGTCTTTCGGTGACTCCTTCAGCCAGGAGGGGCCAAGACACTGAACCCAAACCGGCTGCCACGCCCAGGGAATGGCTGCACTGTCGCCAGGAGCTGGCTCTGCACTGTTGCTGGGCCCAACAGCGTCGCTGGGACTTGCCAGCCTCCCGGGCCCCTCCTGCTGGTCCCTGGGATTTGGGAGGCTCCACCTGCCCCACCTGGCCCCCAAAAGAACAGGGGGTGCAGTCTTATAAGGCTGGAAGGATGCTGGGGGGCAAAGTCACCAAGTATCCATGACCACGGGTATTACTGTGGTAATTTAAGAATCCAAACAACAACTCTGGGTGGGATAAGCCACTTGCAACAGATAAAATGTTTCAGCCATCAGGTTTTGAAACTCGTCTGTTTACACCAGGAGCGTCCCCCGCCTGCGCCTAAGGCAGAGGCCACGGTGAAGAGGGGGAGTCTGAGCTGAGCTACCTGAGTTGAAAACTCACCTGCGCTCCAGGTGAGGGAGCAGGAGAGTACGCCCCTGGCCACCCCCTGAGCTGCTCTGGGAAACGCAGGAGCAGAGGCTGGTCTAAGACCGAAGGATGCATTTTTAGTCCCACCTGGTGCACAGGATGTGTTCATGGTTCGCAGGTGCCCCGCCACACCCCACACAAGCCCAGGAGGTCACCCGCAGGGCGCCACCCAGATGAGGGGCTCACAGAAACAGCTGGGAACCCTGATAGGTGAGAGCACCACCCAGGCTGCCTGCCGGGAGGACGGCTTCTCACCCTCAAATAGAAGTTTCCACTGTAAGGTACTAGTCACAGACAGTTCAGACGTGTATAAAGTCACCCTACTTCATCCTCTCCCCAGCTGTGAGCGGTCAGGCAGACGGTCCCCAGATGGCTTCCACCCCCTTGAAAACAACAAAATCAAAACCCGTCCCATGACACACAGCTTCGCAACTTGGATTTGTGATGCGGGCGCCACCGCCGCTTCTGAGGTGCACAAGGAAGCCGCCAAAGCTCACATCCATGTATAATGACCCTGACATCTTAAAACATTTATAAATAGAAACTTAAGTATTAATAAATACCCACTCTATTATCAGCTCAGGCATCACACCAAATGATACACAACTTAGAACAGAGCAAAAACTGGTCAGAGAACTAGTTTATAAACACGTATTTTTTACCTATATGCTATAGTAAATAAACAACAAATACAAATATAAGTAATGGATGTTAGCAGTATATAATAAAACTATAAATAAAACCAAACACAAATACAGTAAGCAACAAATACTGAAAATACACAGTAGGTGGAAAGCATTTTTGTATTTCTATGGAGATGGCTTTCAGCATTAACTTTGGCTAATATTTTAAGATTCTGGATACAGGCAGACTTTAAATCATTTACTTATGGTTATAAAATTATAATGGTTCTGAAACTAACATACATTTTTTGGAATATGAAAAATAATCTGGGGGGAGGAGGCCCACAATGCATATAAATGACTAAAAATTGGAACAAGGGAATACAATTTGGTTTTCCTTAATTGGATGTGGAATTATCCTGGTCTTCAACACAATCTTTCAAATGAACCAAAATCTTCATCGATCTCTCTGGTGAATCTGAGCACAGCAAACTTGTCCGGAATCTCTTCTCTGAACATGGAATCGTAAATAAACCACCGGTCAGCCTGTTCGTGTGTCTCGGTAGCGACTCACTCACCGAGCGTGGCAGGGCGTGTGCTGACACACAGTGTGCGCCCCTACAGCGAGCTTCCCTGAGCACAAACATTAGGACAGGAAAAGTAAGCCTACCTGGCCCCGGAAAAACTGATGCTACTAGAATCAGCTTTTCCCACGTAGATTAACTTTTATCCAAAAGAAACAGTGCCCTGTAAGGTCTTAGCACGAGCGGTGCGGAGCGGCTGCAGGGAGACTCTAGATAAAGATGGGAAGCCTGGCGCGGCTGAAGTAGTGAACTTTCTTTTCACTGTTCTGCTCCGTCTAATCATGAGCTGAGGTGTGGGGAGTGGACAATGGCGGGGGTGGGGTGGGGGAGGCAGCCTGGGACAAACCAGCCAGGGACGGCACTTTCCAGAGCTGGAACGCGTCCCCGCGGCGCGGACAGGTTACGAACTGGCTAGCAGCTCAGGAACACGCTCTTCGCCACGGCCTTGCACGCCAAGGGACGCGCTCCCGCTCTCTGCGGTGACTCGCTGCCGCTGCGCCAGCTTCAGAATGAGAAAGGCTCAAGCAAATGGGCTTTAACCAGATGCATCCCCATGAAATGGTGTCATGGGAAAAGAGGGGTAATTCAGGATACTTTGTAAAATCAATGTTACAGTGAAGACTACAGTGAGTGAGTTCACCAGGCGTAACCCTGAGCGCGAGGGTCACATCTAAGGGTGGAGGCTGCGCTCAGGTGTATTCTGCTGCCAACTGCCATGGTTTAGGGAGGTGCAAATACAGATTATATTTAAAAATCAAAGTTCAAATGATACTTAGTTTTCTGCTGGTTCTTTATTATTTATCTCTGTTTCTCTCCTCTTATCTGGTAGCTCATTTATTTGTAACGTGGACCAAAGGTCTGCTATTTGCTTCGATATACTCCTACGTCTTTGCCAAGAACTTACATGGGTTTGCCAGAGACCAGACAGTGAACAGCTGTTTTACTTTTTTCTTGAAACTGTTTTATATCACCCATATTTTTTTTTACAGGGGCATGCATTAATTTTATATTTGGCGAGAATTACTTTCTATACCGACGTCCTGTAATTTTACTAAGTCGTTATTTGGTTGTGGAATGACTTCAACTCTGAAAATTATTTTAGTTCTTCAGTAATTCAAAGCAGGAATATGCACACAGGTGACTCTGGAATAACGCGGGTGTGAGCGGCACGGCCCTTGGCGTGGGGCACTTTTCTGCCCACAGGTTCCACTTTCACAAATTCCACCAACAACATCCATGTACACAGAGGGAGGGGGACTATAAATCATACTTGGATTTTCAAGTGGAGGCTTGGGGGTGGGAGTGGGGGGGGGGGAGTCAGCTCTAACCCTTGCATTGTTCAAGGTCAACTATGCTTCTAAAAACTATGAAATCTGGAACAGATTTATTTATTTGAAAATGAAAATGAAAAATTTTAAGGCATTCTAGCACATACATTTTTCCCCCTCAAACACCAACTAAATGAACCAGAATATAAATGTCAAAAGCCACATGAGATATAACGTTATAAAATATATAGAAAGAGACTTAAGTACCTTTCAGTTAATTCAAATCAGGTTGGAAATTCTATTAATTAAGGAAAAAAATGGCAGTTGGGAAACAAAAGTAGTTTGTTTATAAAGGATTTGAATTGAAAGTATTCCAGTCATTCTATGCAAAAAATATTTGTGGATATTTTAGTAATGTGTTTGTTCTTAGAATAGCACAGATGGCAGAATGGAAGAAAATGTAATTTCCAGATGCCTGGCTTTGTGAATTCAGTGCCACAGACCCTGAGTTACCAAGCTCAATCTCAAGTTTAACCTTAGCCAGGACTTTTGGAGCACTGTGGTATTTGCGAAGTAAATTTTAACTTAATAATTAACCTTTGAAATGTCAAGTAAGGCTAATTATCTTGGGTAGGCATCCCAAAGGGGGCACACACATTCCAGCGGTTGTGGGATCGGACTGCGTTAGCTGCCTGCTACCTCGAGCCCTCCCGTTACTCTGCACAGACCCCAGGACAAAGCAGGAGGGAGGCAGTGTGAGACACGCCCCCTTATCTTGGGGGGCCTTTACCATATGAAATAGTTGTTGCGCACAGGCCTTTTTCAAGAGCCGTACTCTTCCCAACATTTTCTACTTCCTTGCAGATTTTAAAGCATCAAGGAATTTAAATGTAGCTCCTTACCACGAGGTTGGGAATCCCTAAACATGGCAATCCTACTTGGGGTAACACCAAGAAAAGTAAATGAAAAGAGGCCACCTCCCTTACCTGGCGGACATTTCCTTCTTTTACATCCACATCAGCTGGACGAAGGACGATGGATTTCTTGGGTTTTGACTTATCCGACTCACGTCTCTGTAATCAGAACGAAGAGTTAGGTCTTGTTGTGAATCAACTGGTTACACCAGCAGGTGCATTAGGATAGACAGTCTGTGTCTTTATGTTTCTAGATGATCTTGAGCAAATGATGTAAATCTTTATTTAGGGGGCTCAAAGGTCTGTCACATGGTAAACAAGGCCAGAGTAAATTGGTTTTTACCTGGCCCCTAGAAGCACTGGACGGTCCAAAATGGGCAGCATTGCAATGAGGCTTCTTTGACGGCTGTGAAGATTCTTGACATACTTTTCTTTTGGACCTGTGAGCTGTTTTGCTTGGTTTTGATCTGGGGTCACCTACTGCAGCTTCAGTTTGATCTACAGATTGCTGCTGCAGGAGTTGGGGCTCTTCTGAGTCTGATTCAAAAATATGTGGATGTTTTTTCACATTCAGTGACTCGTGGCCTTTCCCTACGACCTGTGTTATATATTTGCTTCTTAAAATTTCTTTTCTGCTTATCTGGGAGTCAGCAGCATTTGTCATTACACCTAAATCTTTATTTGCCACCTGAAATACTGAGCTATTAGAGAGTAGTTTACTCCCAGTGGATAATTTTCCACTAGACGGGGGATATTTTGTTACATTTTCGTGGGATTGCGCATTTCTTTCGGGCAGAGACCCAGAAGGCTTACTTAAATCCCCAGCACTTATCTGCATGTTCCGATTAGATTTTTTTTTAATAGTTGGACCTAATTTGGCCTTGTCGCCCTGGATCACACTGGTATTCAGTGAAAACAACTTAGGTTCTGCAACAACATATGATTTTCTTTTCTGGTGGCCAGGATGTAAGACACTTTTGTTTGACCCTGACAAGCAATTTTTGAAAACTGGTATGAACTTAGGGGCGACATTACTCTGGGAACTAGAATTTGTGTCTTGCACTCGAGTCTTTCCCCCGCTGGGCACTGGAACTTCCAAGGGCACTTGTGCCTGGTTGGGCAGGGCTTTCTTTCTGCTCTGGGCAGATCCTGGCTGGGCGGCAGGAGTGGAGGACACACCAGGGCTCGGCTGGCTGGCCGGCGGCGCCACCTGGCGGTCCTCTGCTACCCAACCCTGCGGAAGACTTGGAGCGGAGGCGGGTCTTGTGGAAGGGGCCAGAGTCCGGGAGGGAGGGAACATTCTTTTAGTGGTCAGATTGGGTGGCTTGACTTTGCTTTCCTGAAATGATAGAGATTAGGAAAAAATTTTTAATGTAATAATGTCCTTAATGGGGCCTCCCCTGGTGGCGCGGCGGTTGAGCGCTGGGTTGTGAGGCTGCCCGCAGCCTCGATCCTCGGCTGCTCCCTGGCCACTGGAGGAGGGTCCCACATGGCGCGCAGACCTCTCCTGCCACCTCCCGCTGCTCCCCTCAGCAGTGTCCTTCGGTCCTTCTGCCTGCTCTGCTCCCCACTCTGGCTCTGGTGAATCCTCTCACCCTCCCGCGCTTCTGACTGTGCCCAGTGCTGGTATAAATAAATAAATGAATAAATAAATCTAAAAAAAAAATTGTGGTGATACACACACACCTAATATCAAATAGAATTCCCCACTTTAATTATTCTCAGGTGTCCTACTCGCCAGCATTAAGCACACCCACTGTGCTTCTATTGTGTGATCACCACCACGACCTATCTCCAGAACTTTGTCCTCATCCCCAGCAGAAACTCAGGGGTCTTGAGGCAGCATCTCCTCCTACCCTCTGGCTCTCCCTGAGGCCTCTGAAGACTTCCATTCTACCGCCTCTCTCTGACTGCACCCCACAGAGGCACACCACCTCCGTGGAGTCATCGGACCTTCCTGTCGCGAGCTTGTTTTCACTGAGCATGTTTTTAAGGTTCATTCATGTTGTAATGTGTCAGAATTTCATTCCTTCCAATGACTGAATGATACTCCATTACATGGAAATACCACATCTTGTTTATCCCTTCATCTAGTGATGGGAGGTGTTGGTAACTTTTTAAATCCATATCTAATGGGCACACAAGAATGCAGTGGGGTTTCCTGGCCCTGAGTGAAGAGATAGAGAAGCTAACTGAGATACAAGAGCTGGTTTCTACCCCTGGAGACAGCGAGGCTGAGGGAAGGCAAGCATCAGAAGGGGTTTGGGTTTGTTTGCTTAGGGTGCTGTAACAAAGTGCCACAAACTGGGGGGCTCAAGCCACAGAAATGTATTGTCTCAAAGTTCTGGAGGCTTTATTCCAACCTAATGGTGCTGGTGAGTTGGGGTTCTGAGGAAAGACTGTTCCGGGCCTCTGCCCTTGGCCTGCAGGTGTCTTCCAGTCAGGTACTATTCTCCTGCCTGTCCCGACTTCTGCATTTTTTTGATGTCAGTCAGAGCTGGGCTAGGCCTGCCCTATTCTGGCATGGCAGCATCTGAACTGTGTCCACAGCTGTTGTTTCAAACAAGGTGACATCCTTGTTTGACACGCCACTGCGCTTACCCTACAAGGCTCTTCCCTGCACACAACAGCTGTCTCGTCATCAGAAGTGACCAATCATGTTAAAGTACCTAGACTTGAACTTTTTACCACCTGACAAGAACAGAATTAAAAAATGAAGTTGAATTCAATTATAGAAAACCAAAAATTAGTCACGTTTTCACACTCTTGGGTGTCATAAACCACAGAGACTTTTAGAGACACACATACTCTTGAGACACCAAAAGAAAACTCACTGCAGGAGGTCCCTGAGAGAGTGGCTTACTCGTGTCCTGATGTAACATTTATCTCGACTGTCTGAACCATGTTCATGCTCACACCTGTTTGGTCTTCATGATGAAAATAATTTCCGGGGGTTTGTTTTGCCCCCTAGCCCGGCATGTATCAATTATTGTCTTTCAATTTCTAAAATACAGTCAACAGCCCAGGGGGGATTTATAGGTTGATATAGGCTTATATTTAAAATTTATAAAAAGACTACAAAGAGGGCCTATGTAAACAGCAGATGAGACCATAAATAATTCACAGGCCCTAAAATGGTCAACAGACCAAAGCTTTGTAAAGTCATAACCAAAAGACACGTGCTTCCCTACATTACTGCCATTACTCTGCTGGATGTGCTAGAAAACCTGGTTTGGGGCAGGGTGGGGGGGAAGTGGCTTGATCTTTAATTTCTACAACTATATACACACACACATCCTATATAGTAACATAATAATACAGGAAAGCCAAAAGCTTTACCCTATATTTAAATAGGAATGGATATCAAATGGATATATACAATTAAGGGAATAATCAGATAATACTCGGGACTGCCAAAATGACTAATCAAATGTGTCTGATTTATTAAAATCTGACTCTGTGTATGTGTCACCTGAGTGTCTCTGATTAAAGCTGGGCAGAACTCAGGGAGGCTGAGCTCTAAGCGTGGGTGCAGGAGACATGGAGTCTAGAAGAAGGTGTTGACTGTAAATGACACAACACAAGGAAGCAGTCAGGCAAACCCAGAATCCGGCATATACTCCAGGGCGAATGATCCAGTTTTTCCAACAAATAACCAGCATAATAAAAAGGGAGTGCATGTGGAGCGGTGCAGAGTGAGGAAGACCGAAGAGACACATCAACAAAACCCCTAAAACAGAATCTCTGAGATAATGGAGAATGGTGTATGATCTGGCACCAGATGTCGAGGAATTACTATCAAATTAAGATTTTTTTAATAAACTTTCATAAGCTAGAAATGCACACTAGAGTCTTTACAGATGGAAAAAACATTTCTTGGATTTCTTTAAAATCCAGCTTGCCCACCACCCAAAAATGTTGAGAGAGAGCTGAGAGCTAGGTGCTAGGTGGCTTCACCACGCTGACTTCCATGATGTTTCTCACTCTCTGGTGACATCAGACAGAAGCCAGGCCTGGTCTGCTTGGTGTTTTCCTCACACTAGAGTCTCAGCAGAAGCTCCAGTAGTTCCCTAGAAGCCCAGGAACGTATTTGGTGGGGAGCAAGCACCCCATCTCTCCTCAAAGATTCTCTTACTCTCCGACTTTTCTATCTTTGACGAGGGTGAAACATTTTGGAAATGGGAAACCTTTTTTGGATGAATGACTCTGCAAGTCTGTCTCTGTGCCTGGGCCCTCGCTGCCGTCTTTCTATCATATCTTGGCTGTGAGCTGAAGATTCTTGTTATTTACTACATAAATAAGTTGTGTATTTTTTTAGTTCGGTTCTTCATGCATGTAATTTCTACATTTAAAGTTGCTCATCAAGAAACGACAACATAATTTCACTCTTTTTTCTTTGACTTATTTTGAAATATTTGCTACATAATGCCAGGATTTTCATTGTTTATCAATCTGTAGTTCTGATCTATACTGTACATGAATTAGGTAAAACTGTTGAAAAATTTGTCATTTAAGAGAAAGATTGCGATTGAAAAACTTAAATAGCCTTAGATTTTTTCTTCATAAACTTCCCTTTCAACTTGGTTTTCTTTTGACAAAGAGATCTCATTATAGTGTGTAAAAAACAAGTCATCATATTTTCTTCACTGGCACTGCCTAACTGTTATCTATTCTTTTTTTTTGAAAATAAAATTTCACTTGGCGTATCATCTTCCAACGTGAACGTTACTGAATTAATTCCATTCCATAAATGGAATTATTCAAAAGCTTTTTCAATAAATCAGACTCAACTGACGTAGCAAAAGTTCAATGTAAACTTGGATTTGTATGAGGCAAATGTTATCAAACAACCCTATAAGATCATTTAATCATTTACCCATTCAACAATATTTAATGAACAACTACTATATACCAGGCACTTGGGAAAGGAAGGTGACTATGCTGCCTCTCCTGTCCCAGAGCTCATGATTCGCCGGGCAACAGCTGTCACAGCACCGTGTTAACTACAGCAACAGGAGCACGTGGCAGTGACAAATAAAGAGCAGCAACGAATAACTATCAGGAAGACATCAACTGAGGGCAAAGCACTCCAGTATGACAGAGGGTGAGAAACCCCAGCGAGGCAGGCTGTGGCACTGGAGGACTAGCCGGTGCGTAACAGCTTACCTGCGCAGACGGCTTCGTGAGCTCACGCGTGTGGTAGCACGGCTCAGCTGTCATCTTTATGGGAAACCCACATATGTGCGGCAGCTTAGATTTTAAATCTGAAAGAAAACTTTTCAATACACCTTCCAGATCCACCCTTGGAAAGAACTGCACGGGTTGGCTTCTGATGCAGCTGAGAGGGTACGTGCTGGTGTTAAAGAACAACGGGGCATTTGTGGACGCAGAGAGGAAATGTTACTACATGAAACAAGTACCTGCTAAGACAGTACACAAACCAGTGTATAAATAAATCCATCCTGCAAGACATCTAGAAAACCTATTCCTTCCTTGGCTTGTTCCACACGCGACAAAGCAGCGAAGCGTGTGTTCTCCGGGCGCTGCACGCCTCCTAACGCCGCCAACGGGGACAGCCCGCTGCGTCCTTACACTCTCGCTTTCTCTGTAAGCTGGCAAGCCAATCACCCCAGAAACGATTTGTAAAAAAACCTATGTGAGCTTTAGAGAGGATAAAATAAGTGCAGCAAACAATAAACAGGTCGCATCTCCAAGCGCAGCACAAATTTGGTTGAGAAGCAACACGCACAGATTGTGTTCAGCTGCAACAGCCGTTCTTTGAGGAAAGGAGTTACATTTCCTGGTGAAAAAAATTCTCAAGACTCACAATAACATCGTGACAGCTAGTGAAAAGGCAGACTAGCTATCTGTCAACCTCATTTTACATGAAGGTTCGGGTCAGGAAATGCAGCACACAGGACGAGAACACCCGGCTCGCTGTGCTGTCCTTTCATCCCGCCGGCCCGCTGGCGAGGCTGCGCACAGGTGGGGCGGTGAGCGCGCTGCTAACTAAGGCTGAAGAGTTTCACCTGGGCACTAGAGCCCTCGTGAACAGATTTTTAAAAACAATGCTAAGAAAGATATTTTCTTAAATAAATGGGGCGTTGGCGCTGAGCCAAGTGAAAGCCTCTAAACTTGGTCTGTAAAATAATCTTCTGCAAAAGATAAATCCTTAATTTCGTTCTTCAGGAATGTCCTAAATGCCACTGGGGGGCGCCCTTGGCTCAGGAGAACCCTATGATGGCGTGTGTACTAGGGATCAAGTGGACCTTTTTTCCTATCTAAAGTTTCTTTTGCTGTTCAAATTACAAAAATATCATTCTTAAGCTCATCCTCATATAAGAACAGGGAAATTCCAAGCAAAGTAAGAACATGCAAGCAGATCAAAAGCAGAGAGGGAAGCGGCTTCGAGCCGGCAGAGAAGGGTGAACGGACGAGAGCACGGGTGGACCGGAGGCCGCGCGCACGGCAGAGGCCTCTCACACAAAGGATATGTGAAGGTCCTTCCTCCTATCATTTTGAAGTAGATGCTGCAGTACACTTTTGAATTTCTACAATCTTCTGGAAGCTTATAGCCATACTAAAATTTAAACACAAAGTTGAAGTCCTCTTGAGAGAAAGTTCAACTGGGGTTAAGACAAGAAGCAAAATTAAGTAACTTCTAGGGTAGCGCATATTTGTACCCCTTACCAGTGTGTCCCAGTGCATCCGGAAATCATCGAAGGAGTGAAAAGGACAGTCCGGGGGCATGGTGTGAAGAACACTTAGTACTTGTCCCATTTTCATACTATGAAAGATAAGAGTTGGTAAAGTTTTATGTGCCAACGCTTAGTATAGTTTGACAAGTTAACGGTGATTTTGAAAGTGTTAAAAAAGATTACCAACAGACATGTATGTAATAAACTAATCATTTGCTTCTAGTTCCAAATACACATTGGATTAAACGTTAACAAGAAAACCTTATAAGGAAAAACTAAATGGAGTCATACACACAAAAAAAATGACTGATAAAATGATGCCATACAAAAGTATGTCTGGGAATTGTCGGCTTGAAGAAAATGTCTATGGAGAGTTGAATGAATCGCAGTCAAATATACGCCCCGTCTGCCTCTTCCCTGTTTGATGATGAAATGATGTGTCTGCTACCAGTTAAAGTTTCTGCTCCTAAGAAGTTTAACATTTCATCTCCGTGGTATTATTGATGTTAAGAGAGTACAAACTCTAGCCCAGATGCTAATGAATCGCTAATTACGACACACAAGTTTATGGGGTTTTATTGCTATTATGGCGATAGCAGTCATTTCAAATGAAATCACTACAAATTTTGCTGCTTTTGAAATGAGACCCGATAAAAAGATAAATGTATAATAAAATTATTGTAGTTCATCTGCAGCTGATGCCTTCTGTAGGTATGACTATGTTGTCTCAGCATACTTTTGAGGCAAAATTCAGTTTCAAAAATTCACAAAAGTGGTTTATACTTTGCACCTAACAACGTTAAAGCAAAGTAGAAGTAGCATTTCCGCAGCCCCCGAGGAACCACAAGCTGAAACCTCACCTTGGCAAAATGTAGCACCAGTTGCTTAAAATCGAATGTCCCTCAATGACAGCATCCGTATTAGTCTCAAAATCCTTTATTACTCTCTGAGAAATACCAAAGTCGCTTAGCTTTGAATAGAAATAAGGTTGAACATGTAAGTCCTCGAAAGAATTTGACAGAGAAAAACGTCTCTCTCTCTGACACACGCGCGCGCGCGCGCGCACACACACACACACACACACACACAGATGAATCAGGCCTAAGTTATGGTCACTGACATCATCACTTGACAGTCAATGTTTCAGCTCAACCTGCTTCTCTGCCCAAGTGTAGCAACTGTCACCTGCTTTCCCTGTCACCCTCCAAACCCAAACCCCCATTTTGGACTTATTTCAACTGGCTTTCAGTTTGATGATGTTAATTTAGAACAGAAGAAGGTATTTACATTGTGTGGAAATAGCATCTTAACCAAGTCTCTTTTAAACTGAAAGATGGCTTTGGGGGGTGATACCTCTCTCTGGACTTTTGGAGGGGACAGGATACCCCCAACCACCTTTATACCCCTTTCCCACCTCCTGGATGCTTCTCTCCTCAGCCCGCAGGGCATGTGAGCTTGCGGGGCCACCGACACTGCTGTTGCCCACCCTGGGACACGTCGCAGGGGCGTGAGGGGGGGAGTGTTTCCTTAGAAGGAGTCAAACTACAGCGAGACCCCAAGTGAGGAGGGAAACAAAGTCCTAGCAGCTGAGAGGAAACTGCTCCGGGACTAGTGAGAGTGGCTCAGGCCCCCTAGCCGCCTCGGTCTGGCATCACGCAGCTTTGGGGAAGCAACATTCCAACCCCTTTCCTTTAGCTGGAGTCCCGGCTAAACCGGCCAAGCGTTTAGTGTCAGGACAAGTCACCCTCAGTGACTCCTTCCCGGAACGCCCACGGCATTTGCTAGACTGATGGCTACGGGGTGGCAGGGCAGAGGAAGTCCGGATGTGCTGGGCGCAGCATCGGGAGGCGTGCGCGAGGACTAACAGGGAGCGAGGGGAGTGCTGTCCTGAGCTGTGCTGCACATGGGCCTGAGGCACAGCAAGCTGTCTGGTAAGAAAAAGACGGTCAGTGCAGACACGACCACGAGTGTCAGGGAGGACTGGCTGCCGTGGGGGTGGGCCTCTGAGGACAACCACCCAAACTGAATTCAGAGAAAGCAGGTGTCAGGTCCAAATGTCTGGCATTTCTCACATACATCTATTTGAATTTAAATCCTCTGGGTATTCTCTACACTGTTCAGAGACAAAACTGGAGACTCCCCGGTACCAGATTTAATGTTTTATATCGGTCTTTCTCAAACACAGATTTTCCTCAAGACTGGTCAGCGGCCTAACGGTTCACCATGCACTCCAAGGGACAGCTGATGCCTGCCTTTACTTTCTGAACAGACAATGTAACGTGTCTCCTTATGTGAACTAGCCCCTACTTCTAAGCAGGTACTCAAATCTAACTTCCTACTTCTAATGCCCATCCAAAGAATTCATTCTTATTTTCACACTGACAATGCTGCAGTAGTAGAAATCTTTTGGTTGGGGGCCTTGTTTTAGAAAGAGAATTCTGTTGATTCTGAGGAAGAATTAGAGAATAAATAAAAGAAGGCTCATATGGATACTATTTTAATAGCCAGGACCAAAGATGGTAGTCTAAATTAGAGCAATGGAAATGGAGACAGTGAGGCACAGACTTCAGGACCAAGCAGGCTCAGGATATGAAACCGTGCTCTCATTTACAGAAAATTCAAAAGCAGGAAGATGCAAAATTACTACTCAAGGACCTTATTATAAGGTAAAATGGGGCATAAAAATGAGTACAACTCTAAAATTACCAGTAAACACATGATTATGGTGCAGAATTGTATGTGGCTAAAAAGATGGTGGGTGGTCACTTGGGCTTAGTTTGGGGAAGGTTCCAGTCAGTTTGAGGTATTCCTGTTAATACGCCCATTCTAGTTACCTGAGTGCAGGTCAGCAAGTTTTTGATGGTGGAAAAGTAGATCCCATTCAAATCTGACTCCCTACTGACTCAACATAACAGGTCATCAAAAATTTAATCATGAGTGGAGTATCTTAAAGCTGGCCCTTAAGGGATGGACAGAAAAGGCAGCCATTAGAGGGCGCTCCAAGCAAAGGGAGAGCCTTCTGTGCCTTGCCTGGAATTCCTCAGCCTGACAGTGCTGACCCTTCAGACTGGGCCATTCTTTGTTGGGGGGCGATGGGGGTCCTTGCAGTCCTGGCATTGGGCACCAAATGCCACGAACAAATCCCCCCTGCTCCCTTCTTGGTGATAACCCAAACTGTCCCCAGACATGACCAGATGTCTCATAGGGAGCAACATAACTGTCTCCCCCTCCACCCTCTCTACAAAGAACCACTGGCCTAGGAGACAGAAACATGTAGTGAGTGATCGCTGGTGTGTGAGGTTCTATGCTGAATTAGCAAAATGAAAGACACATCCTTCCACTAAGAAGTAAAAAACTGTTATGTGCAAAAAATAGATGCCAAAAAAAAAAAAATGGCAGCATTAAGTCAATCAGGGAATAGTTCATTTAGTCTATGCTGAAATTGTGCTTTTAATATTTGAAGGTGAAAGAAAAGGCAAATAGTATGTGCTGAGTCAGGATAAGATCCTAGAAAGTCTTGAGTGTTACCTAAAAAGATTTTGAGCAAGGGAATAATAAAATTAGGTCTGTGTTAAACTGACTGATTTGGGTAAATAGATTTAGAATAATACCAGAACATTAAACATTAAATAGTATGCATTTTACAATAAACATCTTATCACTCTTATTGTTAAAAATTAAATCTATGTTAGTAGCAGTAAAAAATATATTAAGTATGTAGCAAACATCGTAATGTTAACTAGAACTCAAAGCACGCAGTACCTCAGGCGGCGGCAGTCTGATTGTATAAACTTCTATGCTTAGACAAATGTGAGTTTCTGTTACATTGATGTCTAGTACTGAAAATAAAATATTCAACTGTGAACACTCTGGAATTACTACTCCAGACTATCAAATAAAGAACTTTAGTAACAAAATCAATTACCTTAGCAATCTATTTGAGCTAGAAACTCAGTTAAAAATGCAAAGTTTTTCATACAAGGCAGAATAAAACAATCACGATAACATCTGACAGAAGGGACATCCCAGAGAAGACAAAGCCCTGACACAAGACAGATACAGATGTGCATGTGGGGGCAGAGGGCATTACAATAACCAAAATGAGACCTCACCGTTGAGAAGACACTCAATAACTCTTTCACAGATTTGGCTTCATTGTAAGTGAAAAGCGAGAGGTACACGTCACGCTTATGACATCAGTTTCCTTCACCAACAAATGCCCTCAGGTACAGTCTTGACCTCCGGGGCCCAAGGCTTGCACCCTGCTCTTCAGATGACTTAGGCAAGTCAGGGCAGTGGGCTGCTGCAAAGGGGCGGGGCCTGGAGGCCGCAGGAGACCCGCGAGGTACTGCAGGAGGTACTGGTAAAGGTCTGGATCAGCTCCGCTTCTCAATGCAGAACTGACTACTAGGATGTACTTGAGTGTGTGAAAATCTAATGAGCCAACAATTTGGCGTGTTGCTGCGGAATATTTAGATGCAGTAAAGGAGAAAAAGTCTATCACAGGAGGCAGAATTCCGCTCTCCTGAACTGCCGCCCGCAGTCACTGACCGCTGTGGTCTCATCAACGCATTGCGGATGAAACCCACTGGCCCAGAGCTGGCTCTAGTGACTGCCACTGACCAACCTAAACAGAGGCCAGTGTGGGCGGGGTGCACAGTGCAGAGGCCAGGGGCTACAGAGGCTCTGCTCATGCGGCAGTGCACACCCCCAGGGCTGACGGACCATCTAACTGAGGGCTCAGGATCCCCACCGACCTGCTGCGTCTGGACTACTACTCATGACATCTCCTTGCACACAGCAACACACGTCAGCAAGAGTTAGATTAGACGATTAGACCATATCATACCCGGCATATTTAAGATCTTTTTTCTATTTATAGAAAATCATGTTCTTAGAGACATAAAGGTTTTACTTACATACTAAGGAATTTTTAGTATGATTCTGGAAACTATACATAAGTGTCTGCAAAATTAAAGTCCTTAGTCATACTGTTCTTCAAGTAGAGACATTAAAAATATAGCTTTTATTCCAACTAGAAGTGGATTTTTCTCACATAGGTAGACTATATATTTGGAGCCAGAGATGACTTCCCAGGTGAATCTGTGATTATAAAATGTCTGATAAATTCTGATGTAACCTAATGAGCAAGATTACAAGCAGAACTCACTCAATCTGTAACATATTTTTTTTTAACAAATGTTAATGGTTTATCTACTGACATGTATTTTCACACATTTGTACTTACCAACAGCATTTTGCTTTCCCGCCTGAGAAAGAAACTCTCTTCCTTAAAAAATTTATAGGATATATTATTATAACTCATAAATCATGCTTGGTAAATATAACCTTTTTACATGAAATTATTAAAGCTAAGGAAATACTTTATTTTATTTTTTTTTTAAGATTTATTTATTTATTTATACAAGCACTGGGTACAGTCAGAAGCGCGGGAGGGTGAGAGAACCCACCAGAGCCAGAGCGGGGAGCAGAGCAGGCAGAAGGACCGAAGGACACTGCTGAGGGGAGCAGCGGGCGGCAGGAGAGGTCTGCGCGCCATGTGGGACCCTCCTCCGGTGGCCGGGGAGCAGCCGGGGATTGAACTGGCGCTGCAGAAGCTGCTGGCAACTTTGCAACCCAGCGCTCAACCGGGGAGGCCCCACTAAGGAAATACTTTAAAACACAGTTTTATAAAGGAATATCAGATGACAACTCAGAGAAAAAATATAATTGCTCAAAAAGTATCTCTTCAATTAAAAGCACAGAAATACCCAGTTCTCCCCTCAAATAATTACTTCCTGTTATGAAATACTTGGAAAGTGATCATACCTTAACACAAAATTCAGGATACTTTTTTGATTCCAATGATATTAATAATTTGTGTTCAGTATTATAATGCTTTACAACTTATATTTCTTTTTTTCTAGATTCCAAGTGTTATGCAATAAATGCTTCCCCTTAAAAAAACAGCAGGCCTCTGAAGCAAGGAGACATATTTATGTTGTTGAGGATTTTGGTTAAGAAAGCTTGAGACTGAGTCTTCAGAAGCTGTTCCCTAAAAATCATGTATCTTCCCATTACAAAAAGATGCACCTAACAGAAGGGGCCCAGAGCAGAATGCTCCAGAACCAAGAGAGGGTGTCACCTTGCACCAGGAGATGGCCCGTTTTATTCCAGGCTGGAGCGAGTCTAGCCATCAGTGAATATGAAAGGCAGTTTTGAAGAATTACTGGAAGTACTCTTTGGGCAGCCTCCATCTGAAAAAGGTAAAGGGAAAATATGGGTAAATTTATAACAACTGGCATGTTCCTATAAGCTCAGAGAAAGCACTCGTGTGTTTCGAGCACCACCCAGCCGGCAGGGGTGTTCTGCATAGGCATACAGTCATCACTACAGCTAACCATCTCAGTTCTAAAATTAAGGAATTGTTCAAAGATAGTCACTTTGAGCCACAGCTGTTGTTCTGCCACGCTGCAGCATGACCTGTCCACAAGTAACAAGGAACTTGGGTTCTGCACATCTGGAGAAGAGGACAGGAGATGCTGACCTAACAGCAATGAGGAACCAGCAACTGAGATGACCATGGTGAATCCCTCCCTGCCCAGCAGGCAGGTTTGGGAGGCTGGAGTAGATGAGGGAATGGGGAAGGCTGCCCTGGGGACAAGGCCATAAAACTGACCACCATGACCAGAAAAAACAGCCCAGCTCTGGGAATGCAGAAGTAGAGGCCAGAAGGCCAGTGCTGGAGACAAGACATCTTAACAGATAACTGCAAACTGGTGCCCCCACGTTAGAAAGTGTGTGAAAACAGTATAAAAGAGAGCCCCAAATCCTCCTTAGAGCACGAACTTCTCCCGTCTTGCCCACTGCTCCTCTTAGCAGTGTCTCTCAATAAATCCACCTGTTCTGTTCTTCACTCTGTCTCTGGTGGTTTCTTTCACACCCCATGCCTCCGGCCTCATCCTGATCTTATCTCCACAACAATAACTGGAGAAGGATAAGATGGCAAACAGAGGTTTTAAATATTTTGGACATGGGCACCTTGCAGTAATAAAGTCAAAGGTGTGAATGAAAAGGCAGGAAGAAAATACATCACAGAGTGTTACTAAGATAGGAACTATGGGTGGGAAGTTTCAATTTTTTTTTTAATAATCTTAAGATATGTATGAAGTGATGGAACTTGGCATATTCTTTTATTGCATTAATACTGAAATGCCAACCATTCTTAGGCTCAGAAAATAACTTTCCTGATATTTAGAATTTGTCTCTAAAATCAAGTTTTATCTGTTTTTATAACATATTTGTCAAAAACAAACAACAGCTTGACCTTGTATTATAAGTTCCCATACTTGACTTTTCTTTTGTAGTACAAGTGCCTGCCTCAGACTTTCCTCTGAGGCCTCTGCATGGAGGGCCACCCTTGGAGAGGGCTAACTCAGGCGAAGCCACCCACACACAGGCAGCTGGTCAGCAGGGACTGCTTGTATGCTTGTTTTTTTCCTTTTTCCTCTTTGTTTTTCTCCCTAAGCATTAAACTCTCACTCTGATGATCTGAACATACCAATAAACGGGTTCATGAAACTCTAGATCCCTGTCCTTAGGGACAATAAAATTAGGATCCCAGGCCCCTGTACATGCTGCCCACCATGACTCTCTACCCCCCTTGACCTCACTGTGACCCGGGTGATGTGTAATTTCCAGGTCTTCTAAGTAGCAAACCTGTGTTTTTCCAAGTTTCCTGAGGGTTACTGCTGGAGGGCATCTTGCTGTGATAAGGACCCTGAGGACTAGTCCAGCTGGAACAGCAACAGGCTGACCCCAACACAAAACAGACCTTGAAGTCAACATATTAATAAGAAGATGAAATTCTCCAAGTTCATGGCAGAGGACAGCAAAGGGGCCTCCATCAGCCCACGAGCAACTCTTGCTGACCCCAGTGCAGGGGAGAAGCCCATGGGAATCGCTGCAGGTAGCCAGGGCTCTCGAGTTCTAGGGAATGACAGACGGTAAATATGTTCTCACAGCTTATACACGGCCTTTGCAGGATAACCAAATTCCTTTAATGATTCAAGATGTGTCTCAGTGAAAAGGGTTAGCTGAAATCCCTCCTCATTGCCCCTGAAGTGCCATGCTTTCCCAAGCATGTGACTGAGCGCTGAGAGTAGCGCTGTGAGACCTCACAGGGACTGCAAGTGCCTCCAGATGCTGCTGTGACCTCATCTTCCTCCTGGAACCCAGAGAAGCATTTCATCTTGGGGAACTCCAGGAAGCTCAGGATCCTAAACCCCGGTAGAGGCAGAAACAGAGGCTGCAGAGATGCCCCGATGGGCCACTAGAACCACCAGGGTCAAGTGCCTGAGAGACACAGGTGGAGACAGGTGAGAACTCCAGTCCAGGCTCTGTGGCCTGTGGCAGGTGACACGAGAACCGAAGCCCATGGAATCACTTTTGCCCTTGATGAAATCGACACTCATCCCCACAGTGAACACAACTGATGCTTTGTCCCTCCACTTGTCAGCTCTGTGGTCACCGCCACTATTTTCATCTCTCTGGCCTTCATTACTTCGTCATCAAATGATTCTACTACATAAATTGCCTGCAAAAGGTACTCAACAAAAGTTAAGCTTCTCATCCTCTTTTCTCACTAAATATGCATAAAATAAATTTGGAGGACAAAAAGTTGGGCTCCTTTACATGTGGATCAATAATTTCTGAGGAAAAATACTTATCTTTGTTTGATGACAAAAGAAATTGAAAACAAAATTAATATAAATAGCATCTGGAATTATTTTTGAAAACTCACCTTAGCTCCATATTTTTCAATATAGACATTAAGTTTTCCAGCTTTATAAAATGGTACCTACAATAAAAATTCACATTTATAAAAATGACTTAATATGTGTTATTAAGTAATGCAATCCATAAAGAGTGAAAACATTCTATAACAGAGGGTCCTGAATCATGGACATGGAATCTGGGTGCAGTGTCAAAGTGAGAGAGACCATAAATATTTAAGACCTTTCTTAATATACAAATTCTTAGGCATTAGAAAAAGTGGACCTAAGTAGAAAATTTAGAGAACGTTCAAAAGGCCAAGATGGTCCAATTCACCATGAAAGAAATATAAATTAAAAGAAAATGTCATTTTTAGCCTAAGAGATTGGCAGATTTTGCAAAGGCTGAAAATAGCTAGCATATGAGGTTCTCTCATACACTTAGTGAAAATGTAATCTAGTAAAGCTTTTCAGAGAGCAGTTTAGCAGTGTCTAGATTATAGTTTAAGATGCATTTCAATCTCACTTTCAAGAATTTAACCCAAAGAAACTATCAAGTAAGTAAAAATGACATAATTTCAATGAAGTTACAGCCCTGGAGACTCAGATGTGCATGAGAGCATTACTTCAATCACTGCAAACTCAAACAACAAAATATTTTAGTCTCAAAAATTAGGAAGATAGGTGTACTGACACAGAACAATGTCCAGGAAAGGTTGTTGAAGGAAGAACAAAAGGTGAGTTTCAAAATATAAAGTATAATCATTTCATTTTCTATTTTGAATACAACTTTTTCACAGATTTACTATCTTTACAAGAAAGCAAAATACATTTTTAGTTGGCTATTTTCTTCTTTTTGTTCTTGCTAAGACTAGGATACTTGAATTTATGAGAAATCTAAAACAATGTCCTCCTTGTTCCATAAAGATTTACAAGGAAGAAATAACACAAATAAGAGGTGTCTTCTTGTTCAAAATCAGCTTGTTTTCTTAAAAAACTATAATAAGGATGAGAAAATGAAAGCTGATGGAACCTTGAAGGAAAATGTAATCAACAAGAACAATAACCTAGAAGAAAAATAAAAGATCCAAAGCTTTTAAATGGCTTTTAGCACTGTTAATAAATATTGATTTCACTGGATTCTGGGGAATTAAAATTTCACTATAAGAATTTTCAGACCAGGGTCTCCCTGGTGGTGCAAGGGAAAGACACAACTTAGGAAGCTATCGAACTGAAGCACAAGTTTGATCACCAGCCAGGGAGCTACCGACATGGCACGGTGGACCTCTCCTGAACTTGCCTGCTGCTCCCCTCAGCAGTGTATTTCAGTCAATCTGCCTATTTTGTTCCCCACTCTGTCTCTGGTGAATCCACTCACAACCCACACCTCTGGCCTATACCCCAGTTCTTGTGTGCATAAAAAATAAATCTTCAAAAAAAAAAAAAGAATTTTCAGACCCAAGAATCTCAGAATAATGTAATTTTTTTATAAAGAGTTTTGGCATTTCATTACCATTCCCAGTTATCATTATATACAAAACTGGGGAATATGTTTCTCATTCTAATTTTACTAAGTGTAAAACATTTCTTAATAAAACCTCCAAATTAAAAAAAAAAAAAACAATTACTTGAAGTTCTTTAAAAACAAATGCGGATATGTTGGAATGAGAAACTTATGTGTAATTCTAAGGGACAAAATATGAGAAATGGATTAAGCCCATGCTATCTTAATAAATTGTCATAATATTTTATTCATGTCTTTATCTTAGCATTTATGAAGAACTAAATATAAAATTAGAATCACAAAAATGGATTTTAAATATCACAAAGTCATAGTCTGTGTATATTTTATACTGTTTGTAGGGTAAAGAAAATGTCAGGCTTTTCTGCCCTTCCGCCATCAGGATAGATGATGGATCCTTGTCCTGAATGCATGCCTGATGGCGGGCACCTGGAATAGGGTGTGGGCATAGGTAGATGGGATTCAGCTGAGTTAAGACTGTGCTTTTAAGGGCAGCATCACGGGGGGACACCAGCAGCACCAGTAGCAGCAGCAGAAGCCGAAGCAGAAGCCGAGAAGCAGCAGAACGAACGCCAGAGAGTCCAGATAGAGTAAAGACTTGCCAGCACCCCTGCCTGCCATATGCCTGGTGAACCCCAAATAAAAAACCTGCAAAACTACTGAGGACTCTGACTCCCCCTTTACCTGGTCTGCATGGGATCAGAGAACCTGCACTGTGCCCAGTCCGCCCCTTACACTGTTATAATGTTGTTATACTTAGTATCCTGTTATACTATCATTATACTTAGGATATAAGTTGAATCAAACTAGAGCACAATGTAATTTGTTTTCATAAGCCACTTTCAATTTGAACTACAACACCTGAATTACTACTTATCACTACTACTTCCAATGATTAGCAATAATACTTTGCAAAAGGTTAAAATACTGACCGCCATCACCACCCAAATTTGGTTTACTACTCCAGGCACAGGTGATGTAAGAATATCTTGATGCAAAAACAGCAACTGCCTGTGGAGAAGAAACATACTCATTTTAAAGTGTGCCTGCCCGTTTTTACTTTGTTATCCTTTAAATATTGCTTAATTCAAATAAAAAGTTGAAGTTTCTTTTAAACAAGGGGGGGGATTATAGGTTTCTGTATTACTTAGCATACCTCCAACACTGTAGGCACTCAGCCAAGGTTGAAATTAAGAGGATTACAATGTCTTAGATATGGAGATTATATGGAAAATGGCCCCTGCATTTGAGTTGCCCAATCTTTTTAATCTGTGAACCTCAACTCCTCTTTGAAACTTCATCTGCCCAAAGCATAGACTTGAGGAAGGCTAAACCCTATGAAGAAATCATGTCTTTCAACTCCTGCTTACTTCATTTTCCTTTAGGTTTTTTTTTTTTTTTTTTTTTAATGGTAGCCAGGGAGCACTGGAGGCAAAAGTTCAAGGATTCTTCTACCAGTGTCCTTACCAAGTGCTTCTGTGTTACACCTACTGAGTAGACTCTTTTCCTTCAAACAGGAAATTCTTCCAAAATCAGAATCAAGTGGTAAATAGTTCCGTGTTCAACAGCCAAATGAACTTACAACAAAACTCACGACAATTCAAATTACCTTCAATAATTTTGTTTCAAAGGGCAAGGCAAAACACAAAAGGGAGTACAGTTGAAATAGAAAAAATTCAAAATTACCAATCAAGGAAACAAATTTAAAAAGCCACAAACATGTGCACTTGCTGCCGGTTGCCTCAGATGTAAGGAGGCCAACTGTCTCTGGTGGCGTCCTTTGTAGGAGTCCTGGTGCAGCGGGTGCTGGGTTTTGCCAGGCCTGATGCAGCCAGTCTCTGCTTCAATGTCCCAGCCTGTCAGTTGCTGGGAAGGTGAGCCAAGTAACCCCACTCTGTGGCATGGCTGCTTTCACTTTGAGGGCAAATAGCCAAATATCTGATTGAATATTTTCTACTTGTTTCTAGAAGGATCGTAGGTAAGTGCTCAACAGGTATCACGTTACACCTTGAGAATGGTCTGGGCTCCTGGATATAGATGCGTGGGAAAAGAGAGACTTGGGAAGAAGACGAGTTATGTGAAGAGGAGGAAAATGGAGGCCGCCCTGAGTGTCATCCTCATCCTGACACTTAGCAATAAGTGCTCGTCCTTCTCTAAGAAATCTGGTTAGAGGTACGATATGCTCAGTGGATCCCAAGAGTCCTTCTTTGAGTACCCTTGAGTATCTTTAAAACCTAAAACACAGTGTGTTCTGAGTAATCATGGTGTTATACTTCAGGTTTGGACTACTAATAGTTTGAGATAGTTTTTGGAGAAATACTCTTCAGTGTCTCATACTGATCTGAAAATCAAGAAACTAATCTAAAATGTTTCCACATATCCCGGAGTACCCATAAACAGGGTACATTACCCATTAAATGTTTACTGAGTTGGGGGGCGGGGGTCTTGACTTCATCAATGTTTGTAAGATTTTTAAATTAAAAAGTTTAGCCATGAAGTCCTGCAGGTGAGATCTCAGTGGGGAGACAGTCCATTTCACTCTTTATTCGTCTTCTTTTTAAAGTTTTCCCCTAAACATCGCCCAATAAACTTGGTCAGATTTAGTCAAAATTGAATTTATTTTAAAATTGTGGAGCGCTGTGTTTTAACGCAGAACTCCCGGGCAGCGCGCCACCTGCGTTTTCGGACGGAGGCCGTCGGTACAACCTGCCTTTACCTGCACAGGGTCATCTGCAGGCCCCTCGCCTCGCTGCCCGCGCCCCTCAGCAGCACCCCGACAGCGCAGAGCTGGCGCAGATCTGGAAGCGCGAGGAAGAAGAGCGACTGCGGCGCAGCGCCGGCCATGTCTTCCCGTCGTCTGGACGCGTCTGCAGTCGGGCCTTTAGACAGACAGACAGACACAGACTGAGAGTCAGGCAGACAGGCAAAGGGCAATGAAACGGCAGCGAACTCCGGCCCGCGGGGCTGCACACCCCGGCAGGGCGTCCTCGGCCCCACCGTCAGCCGCCCCGCGGCCTCCCAGGCTCCCGCGCGGCCCGGAGGGGCCTCGGCACAAGCTCCACCGCGAAGCGATTCGTCACATGAGCGGGGGCCCCGGCGCGCGGCGGCGCGGGTGGGGGGGTGGGGGGCTCTCCACAGGGCGGCGGCGCGCGAGCCGCCCGAGCCCCGCTCGACGCCCCTCAGAGCCGCCACAGTCCAAGCTCCGCGGGGCTCGGCTGAGCTGGGTAATCCGGGTATGAGCACCACGCACCCCAGAAGCCCCAGGAGCGCCCCCACCCGTTATCTGTTCGCTCCGTCGGGAGCTCCTGGCGCGTCTCCCGGATGCGCGCGAGCTCCCCGACGGCCGACAGTGGATCCCGGCCTTAGGCCGCACGCGGGGGCCGCGCCCCCAGGGAACGCCCCCGAGGCCCCGGAAGCTTCGCCTCCTGCGAGAGGGAAGGGCGGGCAGGTGGCGGGCAGGGGTCGCCCTCCGGGCCCCGGCTCCCTCAGCGCCTGGAGCCTGCCTCCCGCCTCACCGGGCCGCTCCTCCGCCTCCCTCACAGGCAGCTTGTTCCCAGCATACACCGCGAGCGGAATACCCTGCACTCCCAGCATGCCCCTCGCGCCACGCCCCCAGGCGGGCTCTGCGCTCCCAGCATGCCCTGTGCTCCCAGCATGCCCTGCGCTCCCAGCATGCCCTGCGCTCCCAGCATATAGTATGTGCAAGGCCTTAGATCCCAGCCTGTCCTGAACTCCCATCGTGGTCTGTGCATCCTGCATTCCAGTCAACATCTGTGCCTCCAGCATAAACTGTGTGCAAGGTCCTAGATCCCAGCATGCCTTGCACCCCCAAAATTCCCTGAGCCCCGTGGAATACTGCTAAGACCAGGGCGCCGAGTGTACCCTGCACACCATGCACTCCTGGGGCACCCAGCTTTACCCACCAAGGCTGGTGGAGCACCATGAGCAGAGGAGGTGCCCTGAGATGATCTGAAAGAAGAGCTGGGGACCCGGGCACGAGGGCCCTGGCTGCCCTTGAGGGAAAGGAAGGTTGCTGTGGGGAGCCACAGGTCCAGACGCCCCATGCTGGCCCAGCGTCGACCTTCTGTCTAGCTAAATACCCGTGTCTGCCCTTTCTGTCCCCTGAAAACCCTCCCCTGGCTGAACTGTCCATGACTGGAACATCTATAGTGTGGTGTGGTGGTATGGGCCTGGTGCAAAGCATGTTAAAAGCACCTCTCATTATTTGCAAATACTAAGTCCTGCTGGTTCTTGGAGGTTGCCTAGGAATTAATGATAGAATACTAAGGAAACAATAGTCTCTGTCCTTGTGGGAGATTGCATTTGTATGTGGATGTTAAGGGACGGATAAATGAGCAACAGTTTAGTATGGTAGACAATGATAGGTACATTGGAGAAAAATAAAGTGGATAGGGGAGAAAAGAAGCATTGGGAGAGGCCGTTACAGGTCAGGAAGCCTCACAGAGGTGACATATAAAACATGAAACATAGGGGTGTGAGCAACCCCGTGGATGCCGTGGAGAAGCTGTAAGAAAGGAAATATTGAATACAATGACCGGGGGCAGGAGGGTGACCAGTTGGCTCCGGTGTAGTGGGAGAGTGACCTGATGTCAGAGAGATTAAGTGGGACAGTTTTAGGCCTTCTAAGCTGTGTGTCTATTTCAGCTACCTGTTTTGGAGTGGATGCCTTGCATCAAAGCTTAAGTCACATATTTGCACTACAAGAAGGAAAGCCAAGTGTTTGCATTTGCACTACAGTTTTTTACACTGTATTTTTACCAGAGTAACTTTAGGAGTAGAGCTGGTTTGCTAAAGATTTATAAAACGTTGCTGCACCTCCCCCTGCAGTGACCTTCAGGGCTAATGGCTGGTGCCATGGTCCCTGAGGTCCGGCGTGGGCAAGGAACCATGCGCGCAGGGGGAGAACAGCAAACTCCCTAAGATGCAGAGAAGCCGAATACCTGCCAAGAGATAACAACTACCAGAAGCCGCCACAAAGACTTAAAAGGGATGCTGACCACACGGAACCTTATCTCGCTTTCACAAGGCCAACAAACTTTATTCTACTATAACTGTCTTTCTAAAATCTTTTCTTTTCCCGGTCTAAAAAGGTCATTGATTGCTGATTAAAAAACATATGTAATCTAATAACTAGGCTAATTCAAATGAAACATTACTAAACCCTGTATACTAATAGAATTGTTAGTTTTATGATTTCTCTGATTGTGTCCTTGGCTTTGTTAGCTTTGATCTTATGAAAAGTATATTCACCCATGCTAATTAATATAATAAGTTAGTGGTAGAGAGTAGTTATTAAAACAAAAAAGTAATTACATAGAAAAATAGAAAGAATTAATAGCCTGTCTACTTAGAAATGTAGCTAGGTCCAGATATAACTTCGGACATAGATCACTGCCCTGTCAATGATAAGCTAAACCTATGAGCCAGCTGGTTTGGTTCACTGATAACCGATCCTATGCCTTTAGAAAAACATATATATACTGACCACTGACTCAAATAAAGTTGCACTCAGATTTACACTCTCTCTTGAAGTGTATCTGTTTGTCATTTCTTTCGCCGACTCCCTGACCACCCTGTGCGCTTCTCTCAACCCTGAGACGGCCTCATCGTCTACTGCTGTGCTGGTCTGCGGCAAAACGTTATTTCCTAAGGGAACGTCAGGAAGAATTTGTAAATGCGTGTTCCTTTAATTTCTCAGATTTGTTTGTCTCTAAATTTGCCTAGTTCCCCTAGGAGCCTCTGCCAGATATGCTACTTCCTCATGCCTGTGTTTTAGAATAAGGAAGTCTTGTTGAATAATAATGATGATGATGCACTAGCTAAAATCTAGTGATTGTTTTCTATGCATCAGACTCTATGCTGAGCATTTTTAAGCACCTGGCTTATATTTAGTGACCAGCTTATTGTCATGCATCTGATAAGTCACTAAATCAGTGATGTGATCCAAGTCATTGACACCAACGCTTTGCCTTTAACCACTTTCAGAGTTATTTGGAAATGAAACAGACATCTGACACTGTCTTGACATGGAACTATAGAGGTAACCATTCGCTTAAGAGACTCATTGCTCTGTGAGCAGTCATGGATGATTTAGCAGTCCTGAAAACTAGTTCTTGAAAACTAGAATAAGACACACAAAATAACCTAAAGCAAACAAAAGGAAGGAAAAAATAAAGATAAAAGCAGAAATCAGTGAAATTGAAAAGAGAAAAATAGAGAAAAGATTGATAAAATTGACAAAACTAGCAAAGCTGACAATGACAACTAGCAAAGCTTACTAATATCAAGAATTAAACAGAAGATATGACTACAGACTTTGCATACATCAAAAAGATAAGGGACTACTATGAATAGTTCTGCACACATAGATTTCAGAATTTAGATGGAATGAACCAATTCCTCAAAAATGTACAAACTATCACAACTCTCGCACACAACATAACTTGAATAGATCTCTATTACAGGAATTAAATTCAAAGTTTAAAACCTGAAAAAGAAATCCACAGGCCTATATGATTTCCCTGGAGCAATCTACCAAACTTGAATAACCCTAATTCTATAGAGTTTCTTCCTGACAAAATAAAAGGGGAATATTTACCATTTCATTCTGTGAAGTCAGCATTACTCTGATACCCAAACCAGACACATACAGCACATAAAAAAGGAAAGTACCCATCAATATTTTATTTTTTTAAAGAAGGAATATATCATTTTTTAAAAAGATTTATTTATTTATGCATACAAGAGCTGGGGTATAGAGCAGAGATGCGGGGGGTGAGAGGACCCACCAGAGACAGAGTGGGGAGCAGAACAGGCAGACTGACTGAGGAGCACAGTGGGTGAGAAAATACACTGCTGAGGAGCACAGTGGGTGAGAAAGGAGAGGTCTGCTTCAACACGTGGGCTGCTCCCTGGCTGGCTGGGTACTGAACTCATATTGCAGAGGCTGCGGATTGCTTCATAGTGCGGTGCTTAACTCCTTGTGCCATCAGGGAGGCCCCCATCAATATTTTAGACGTATGAGGAGCAGCTTGTGTCTAGAAAGGCCCTACCATGACACATTTTACCCATTGTTTCTACTCAATAACCTTTTTTTGCAACATAGGCATTCTTGAGCTTTCTTTACAACTTCTGAGTGCCCCTGCTGCCAGAAGGAGGAAGATGCAGGACCCCAGGCTGGAAGTGGTCATGGCTGAATGATAAGGCATGTGAAGATTGACCAAAAGTAACCACGAGTAGCTGAGGATTAAGTATTATACTAACATCTTTGCCTCTGGGTAGGATTTAACCTCTGCTTTCTGAACATGTGAAGTGTGATAAGGCATGTAAAGCAGCTGACAGGTGCCAGAGAAATACTTCCTGGAACAAATAAGAAGACTTAATTGTGATGTTTGCCTTGCTTGCTTCTTGCCAGAGGCTCTGAACTCTCTCTCAACAAAACCCCAAAAAACAAACAAAAAAACCAAACAGGTTAAGGCTTTGATGAGGGAGGCACTTCTTTTAGAAGGGCATTCCGTGGATCGCTGTCTCTGGCTCTCTTACAATAAACCCTGGTGCTCTCTCCTCCACGTGGTGATGGAGTCCTCAATAGATTTTTGAGTGAGGTTCTCAAGGACTCACCAGAGGGACCTGTTGGCACATATAGATATGGAAATTCTTTTTTTTTTAAAGATTTATTTTTATTTTTATACAAGAATTGGGGTACAGGCCAGAGGTGCGCGGGGTGAGAGGATTCACCAGAGACAGAGTGGGGAACAGAGCAGGCAGACTGACTGATGTACATTGCTGAGGGGAGCAGCGGGCGAGAGGTCTGCCTCGCCATGTGGCTTTCTCCCTGGCCAGCCGGGACCGAACTAGTGCTGCAGTGGCTGCGGATTGCTTCATAGGTTGTGTCTTAACCCCTGCGCCACCAGGGAGGCTCAGATATGGAAATTCTTAATAAAACATTAGAAACAGAAATCAGCAATATTTAAAAAGTATTATATACCTAAACCAAGGGAGTTTATTCCAGAGATGCAAAGTTGACTCAGAAAATCAGTCAATGTATTCCATCATGTGAAAGGCAAAAGAGGAAAAATCCTGTGGTCATGTCGTTTGATGCAGAAAAAGCACTTGACAAAATTCAACCCTCATGCTAAAAATTTAGAAAAAGGTATAGTGGATAACTTCAACTTCATCAAGAACATGTACAAAAATCTACAGTTAACATTATACTTAATAGTGAAAGTACATGAAATTAAGGCCATAAAACATCACCACATAGGTATTAGAATACCAAAAATAGGGGCCTCCCTGGTGGCGCAGCGGTTGAGCGCTGGGTTGCGAAGCTGCCCGCGAACTCTGAGGCGCCGGTTCGATCCCCAGCTGCTCCCCGGCCACCGGAGGAGGGTCCCACATGGCGCGCAGACCTCTCCTGCCGCCCGCTGCTCCCCTCAGCAGTGTCCTTCGGTCCTTCTGCCTGCTCTGCTCCCCGCTCTGGCTCTGGTGAATTCTCTCACCCTCCCGCGCTTCTGACTGTACCCAGTGCTTGTATAAACAAACAAAACAAACAAACAAATAAATAAAAAAAAACATGCCTCTATAAAAAAAAAGTCAATTATTTAAAAAAAAAAAAAAAAGAATACCAAAAATAAAAAGAGCAATAGTACCCAGCGGGTGAGGGTGTGTGGAACTGGATCACTCAGGCTTTGACGCAGGGCATGTCAACCGTACACCTGCTCTGGAAAATGGGCAGTTTCAAAAAATTAAAATGTAGCACATGTCCTAACAATCACAGTCATGAACATTTACCCTACAGAGATGAAAACTTACGTTCACACAAAAGCCTGCACGATGGTTCATTATTGCGATGGTCAAAAAATGGTTCTAACCAAAATGTTCCTCAATAAGTGGCTAAACAAACTGGGGTGCGTCCACATGTGGTAAGAGCAAGCAGGAAAAGAGCAGGCGGTCCTGCACTCAGCACCGTGGGTGGGGCTCCAGGGGACCGTGCCCGGTGAAAAAGGTCACACTGATCTCACTTATATAACATTCTTGAAATTACAAAACGGTGTGGATAGAAGAATAGTGGTTGGCAGCGCTCAGCAGGACCGTCAGGAGAGGAAGATCTTTGCCGTCAGATCTTTGTGTGCTTCGACTCCCAGCGCTGGTCACACAAACCCCGCGTGTGGTGACGAGTGACCAGACAGGACACGCTGCTGAGGCCCATGTCCTGACTTGATACTGTGCCCCCGTGACACTGCTGGGGCCCACGGGGAGAACTGGGTGAGAGGGACATGGCCTGTATTGCAACTTCCTGGAGTCTACAATTATTTCCGAGTTAAACACTGAAAAGTATAGAACTTTCTTAGAAATCATTCCAATGTCATGCTTTCATTGCCTGCTGTGAAGACAAACATTTATGGATCTATAGGACGGAGGCGCCACCACGAGTATGCAGGACCGGGTCTACCTTCACTTGGCCCTAGTGTCCAAGCAGCCAAGGGGCAAAGGGTGCACTTGAAGACGTTTGCTTGGGGCCTCCCTGGTGGCACAAGGGGTTAAGTCTCAACACTATGAAGCAATCCGCAGCCTCTGCAGCACGAGGTCAATCCCCCAGCCAGGGGGCTACCCCCGCGGCGCGGCAGACCTCTCCTGCCTGGCCCGCTGCTCCCCTCAGCAGTGCACTTCAGTAGATCCACCTGTTCTGCTCCCCACTCTGGTGAATCCTCCCCCCCACCCCCGCCTGTACCCCAGTTCTTGTATGCATAAATAAATAAATCTTAAAAAAAAAAAGAAAAGAAAACGTTTGCTTGACAGGAGAAAGAAAAAACACTGGAACTGTGGGGAGCGCCCGGACGAACTCCTCGTTGCGGGTCGGGGCGCGCCGGGGGGAGGCTGGGGAGCCGCGGCCTTCGGGAGCACCCGCCGTGGGAGGGGCGCGGGCGACGGGCGGCCTGGGGTGCCCGGGGCTCCCCGCACCCCGCCCGACGGGTAGCGCGCTGGGCCACCGCCCGCCCCGCGAGGGCCCGGCCGAGCCCGCGGGGAGGCGTCGCCGGTCCCGGCCCCCCGGGCGCGCCGTCCCCGGGGTCACCCGAGCAAGCGGGGTGCGGGGTGCGGGACCCCGCCGCGGGGGGGGCGGGGCTCTGGCTCCGCTCAGGCCCCCGGGCGCGCGGCCCCTGCTCAGCGCCACGCGCTCCTTCACGGCCCCGCTCGCGCTGAAGGCGCCCCCGGGCGTCGCGGCACAAGCGCCCCCCGCCACGACTCCACGTCCCGGCCCCGCGGCCCCGACGGCCCCCGGCGACCCGGCGCCCCAGGCCAGCCCCGCCGCCTTCCGCGCAGGCGCACGCGAGCCCCGCCCAGCCCGCCCCGCCCCGCCCAGCCCGCCCCGCCCCGCCCCGCCCCGCCCCGCCCTGCCCTCCGGGCGGCTGGCGCGGGCTGTGAAAGGCACCTGCCGCAGCCTATCAGCACCCGGGCGCGGGGCGGGGCCGCGCGGGGCGGGGCGAGGCGGGCGGCCAGGGGCGGGCCCTTGAGTGACTCGCCTGCCGGCCAATCCTCGGGGCCGCGCGCCGGCCCGCCCCGCCCCGGGGCCGCCCTGTGCCCGGCTCCGGCCCGGGCCGGGATGTCCCGGGGCGGCCCGCGGAGACCGCGCTCCGCTCCGCCCGGCTCGGCTGCTCGCTGCAGGGCCTGAGGCTCGCCGCCTTCCGAAATGGCCGAGAAGTCGGACAAGGCCGTCAAGTACTACCGCCTGGAGGAGATCCAGAAGCACAACCACAGCAAGAGCACCTGGCTCATCCTGCACCACAAGGTGTACGATCTCACCAAATTCTTGGAAGAGGTGAGTTGGCGAGGCGCGACGGAGAGCGGGCTCGGGGCGCCTGGCGCGGCCTGTCCCCAGCGCGGCCAGCGCCCGCCTTGCTGCTGACGCACCTGGGGGCCCCCAGTCTCAGCCGAGTCTGCTCACCCCCTGCGTGCACACCTGAGAGCGTCCAGTCTCACCTGACCTGCTCACCCCCCGGTGTGCACCTGGGAGCAACCCCGAGTCTCTCACCCGAGCCTGCTCACCCCTTTGCGCGCACCTGGGAATAACCCCGAGTCTCACCTGCGTCTGCTCACCCCTGTGTGCACACCGGGGAGCGCCTCGAGGCGTGTCGGGGAGCCATTGCAGCAGCCCGAGGCGCGCCCAGGTAGGTCAGGGGCGCCGAGACCCTGTGGGGCACGTCGAACACCCCCTAGCACTCGGAGGGGAACCACATCGCCCCTGGAGGTGTCTTCCCGGGAGAAGGCGCAGCTAGGAGGGATTTCGACGATCCCTTTCATCTTTGAGTTTCCGCAGAATGGGGTCCGCATCTTGGACAGGACAGGGGGCCAGGGGTCGCCCCACTTCTGTTACTGCTGGAGCGGACGCCTGATCGGAGCCAGTCGGAGACCATCCAGAGCTGTGCCTCCCGCCAGCGGGGGCGCCCAGTTTGAAGGTGGGGGTGGGGGTCAGCACCTGCTCTCTCCAGGGCTCCTACGGGTCCACCTGCCCCCACAGACCCACCTGCTTGTCACCTAGGAGGAGCTCCTTAACTCCATCCAAGACTTAATCCCCGAGGCGATGCCACACTCCTGGGACTGGTGTGGCGTCTTGATGAAGCAGGAAGGACTGAGAGACTGAGGACTAAAAACTCTCCCAGGGAAATTTGATCCTTAAGCAACTTTGGAAATTGTCAAATAACTTTGCTTAACTTAAGGGAAATAGTCCTTTGGTGGAATTCTTTACAGGAGGTCTTAATTTTCGCAGCAAACTCTAAGGCCCCCCCCCACCTTTATTTTTGCTACCCCTGAATGTGTTTTATCACAGTGGGGAGCTTGAATCATAAATTTAACTTATCCTCCTTCTTTCTCCCAGACAGTAACTGAGAACATTTAGTGATGGGAATTATTTACATAGTTTGAGGGGAAAAGGAAAATAGAGGCCTGGTCTTAACTGGTCCACCCCAGCTTACATCAAGGGACTTTTGTTTTGCACAGAACTTTTTTTTTTTTAATTAAAAAACTTCAAAAAAAAAAAAAGTTGGGGTTGTTTACCAGTAAGATATTTCGCTATTAAATTGTCATTTTGGTGGCGGCCAGAAGACTGTGTCCAGATTGGAGTGGCTTGGAGCTGGGATCAGATGTGGCTGCCCTGGCCTGTGCTGAGGGCCAGGACTCCGGCCTGGCCTCTTCAACAGGCCGCAGCCCAGCATCAGCTCTGTGGCTGCCAGGTCTCCACTTGTGGTGCCCTCCCTGGGCTCCCCCCAGGTGCCAGCAGCACCCCTCCCCCAGTTGTGACAACCAGATGTCTCCAAATCTTGTCAAATGTCCCTGGGGACAAAGTTCCTCCCAGTGGGGTGTTACTGGCCTCACCTGTATTGCGCATGGCTTTACGGGTCACTTTTCAGAAGGGAAGAATAAGGAGAAGAAGACTTAAGGTTTACTTAAACCGTTTACTTTTATGGGGCGCCCCTCTCGTGCACCTGGGAGTAATCCCCCCCCCAACCCAGTCTCATTTCTATGAGGCAGGAAGAAGGGGGACCGCACTGTTTTCTGAGTAAGCTGGCAACATGGAAATAAATGTGAGCGGGTGAGTTAGCTGCCAGCACACGCCTGTATTCTCCCACTGGTTTTCCAACACTTTTCTTTTTAAAAGTAGCTTGGGAGGAATGCCTCTGTGGTCTGTGGTCAGATGAGATGACATGCATTTATTATTCATATATTTGAACTAATGACATGCATTTATTATTCATATATTTGAACTAATGCTCATAGAGAGCTCACCTAAAACCGCTGTTGATGGCAAGAAATAAAAAACCTGTTTCCAGCTATTCCTCTGTACTTGGTATTGGGTAAAATGCCCCCTATACAAACTCCCTGGAGCCCTAGGGGTACACCACTGCTCTTGGGGGTTCACTTCCTGCCTTTTGACCAGGTGACCCAGGATTCCGTGTTTGCTGAGCTCTTGTCTCAGACTGTGGTCCTGGAGAGGAAGAGAGATCTTAATTGATTTCATCAGCTTCCATTGGAGCAAACTGGAATGACAGAAAACAATTTGGGGAACAGGAATAATGACCCAGAAGTCCCTGCTGTAGGCCAGAGCGGCCTCTCCTGGGTGCAGTGGCTGGTGGGAAGGAGAAACTGCTGAGAGCTCGGATTCAGACAGGGAGTTAGTTGATTCAGGTGGAGGTGGCTGACCTTTGAAACTGGATCAACTGGAGGATGACAGCCTGCAGTAAGGAGGGACCTTTGCCCCGGCCAGCCTGACCGTCAGCCTTCCCACCACATCCCATTCTGCTTTTTTGAGACGTGTTTTGCATTTGCTGCTACTGTTTGTATCCCGTGAACCATCTCTGCTTAATATGTCCAGTCGGCTTTGGCTTCTAGCCCCCAGCACACGCTTGGGGCGTGTGGGAGTCTACACACCTCAGACATTCCCCTCCCAGTGCAGGCCACCTCCTGCACCTGACATGCAAGTCTCGTGCTGAGATTCTCGGCAGGATGTTCTGCCAGAATCTCCCTAGACCCCTCCTGTTCCCATGATTTTATTAGGCCAGTGCTGCTCGCCTCACTTACTGATGACAGAGAAAGGGCCCCAGGAGGGCTGCCTCCCTCCCCCTGGCCCCGTATCTCCCCTTCTTCCATCATGTCAAAGCTCCGGAAATCCACGCAGCCTTTGCGTGTTAATGGAACAGTTTTCTGCTCCCCGTGGTTTACCTAGGGGTGGCTGTGACAGACGTCCTCGTGTTGCCTCTAAAGCGAAATCTGCATCTATGCGGCTCTCCATGCGGTAGGGATCCCTCGACCGCACGGACGGCGAGGCCCCAGGGCGCTCTCAGAATAGCGCAGATCCACGTGCATGTGTGCATGCGTGTCGGGGAGATACCCAGCATGATGGCGGAAGGGGTCCAGGGGGCTGCATGTGCTCTGTGCCTGTTAAGGTACAACGGGAGAATAATAGTGTCTTCCCCACCAGGCTGGTGCAAGAATTAAAATAATGCAGGTTAAACACATTCGCTGAGAGCAGGCCCGGGTCGGGCGCAGCGAACGCTGAGGGCGCCTGTGAGGTAAAGCTGTAAATCTGGCAGGTGATGTTGAAACAGGAGAATGTTATAAGAGTGATCGCCTTCCAGCCAAGAACACAGGTGAGGTTTCGAAGTTGTGCAACTCACTCCGGGTCTTGGAATAGTGGCCTTAAAAAGCTGTTTTGTTGTCTGGGAGGGAATCACCCGAGAGGGAAGGCAGCTATCTAAATAGCAAGAGGTGTTTGGTTACAGGCTGACACTGACCTACACGATTATGAGCTTTGTTGCTTACATAGTTTGTTCTAGTTTGTTTTGTTTTCCCCTCCTGAATTCCAGCTTTTGAATTTATAGATGAGTCTTGCCATGTCTGATGGTGTTGTTAGCAGAACTGATGATTCTAGACCTTTGCAGGAGTTATTTGAAATGAAAAGTAGACATTTGGGGTCAGGAAGAAAAAGAATTGCTTTCCCAGTCTGTGATTGGGCAGTAGCGTTTTTCCGTGTTTGAGAGAAGGGTCATATAGTTAGTGACAGCTTGTTAGCTGGTTTGCACTATAATCAGTGGAAGTTTAGTGAATAGCAATCCTCCTGCAAGTGTCGTAGAGCAGAATGCCATTGTGCCAAGTTGTCCTCACCCTCCGCACTCATGATCAGAAAGGAAACTTCTCCCTAAGTCATTTCTTGGGACCCTGGAATCTGGGGCTCTGGGTGCCACGGCATCTGGGGTGGTCTTCAGCATCTCCCTGGCCACGCCACCGCTCTGGGCTCGCTGGCTTGGGAGTCTTAGGTGGTGTGTTTATAGCAGCCTCGGTGCTGGGGGCTTCCTTAATTGTTTCATGTGGTTTTCCATGGCCCGTGGCTGCCATGTTGCTGAGACCAGGGCTCTGAGGCTGCGGGACTTCAGACCCCTGCCTCCTGGGTTCGGGAAGAGACTGTGGGTGCCTGAAGTTCCGTGTCCTTAGTTCTGAAAAAACTACAAAGAATTTATATCTTTACCCTTAAAGGGGCTAAAATCCTACATGTCTTTGCCTTTATTTTTTTTTTAAGTAACTTTGCTCATACTTGGAACTCCCTACTCTTAGAAGCTGTGGTTGCCAAATATGGTTTTCATGCACATAAAGTAGGAAGACTATTAATTATTATTTAACACATTATATAGTTTAGAAAATAAAACTTAGAAAATAAGGAGGGAGATAGAGATCCTAAGTGGGGAAAGAGGCTCAGGTGTCTTGGGTGAACAGGTGACAGAACCACCTCTGGCTGGACCCCGAGGAATGTGAGCCTCTGGCAACGCCTCTCTTATTTATTGCTACATAACTTTTGTTTCCTCAGAAACTTTTTACTACTTTTGAGAAGAGTTTCCAAGAGTACTTGGGAGGCTACTTTGTTTTGAAACAGTCACACAACAAAAAGCCCCACTGAGATTGTTAGTTTTTGGTTTTTGTTTAGCTTTAAGGTGGGTGAAAGTTCTAAACAAAGAAGGGAAGCAGGTCACGCTGGACAGCTCAGGTAAATAAAAAAAATAAATCGTGCTCTTAAGTCAACGTGCTTGCCTGTTATTCTAAGGGCCTCTCAAGCACAGAAGACAAGCAGTAGGTGTCTCCCTAATGTAATGGAGCCTGAACCCCCCAGCTGCACGGGTCGGTGCTGGGAAAGTGTCCGATGTTGGGGAACACTCCGTCCACCTTAGCCCTGTGGTTGAGGTGCCTCTGCCAGCCAGGGGACTGTCTGAAATGTTCTTCCTTCCTGCCCGGGGACTGCTCTGTTGCCTGCCCCTGCCTCAGGCTTGTGAACTT